GTCATATATATATATATATATATATATATATATATAATATCCCAAGTATTTCACTACATTGTGGAGATCAATGTACAGCTTGTGACTCTGGCTGTATTTACTAAAATGACGAGGATTGCAACGAAATGTTTGCTGTGCGTGGTTTGTTAGTGGTAGAGTGTTGCCGGAAGTCCCTCGCTCGCTCAAGTTGCCTCATGCAAGAGACAAACTAAGCCGTTGATTCGCTCTCCCTAACCACCTATTTTGTTAATGAACCTATCAAATCGTTTCGCTTTTTCTACTGTTTCCACAGGGTCGTTGGATCACATGGACCCAGGACAATTAACAGGGTTGTTTACGGATTGTCCATAAACGTCTAACTCGAAATTCACACCAGTAACTGCTTCCATTATTTGTGTATGATCAGCTTATTAAACGCTATTTTTGTCATGCCTTTCTGCTGATCAACAACGGGTCGTCCGTGCGTCGTTCAAGAGTGCTTTTGAAGAGAATTGATAGGCAATAGGTCAGTTGATGACCAGAACATGTTACAGTTTACACCGGGAGTTCTCATCTCTGGATTACTTCGGAGTGGAAAATAATAAAGTGGCCAATTCAGTTGTCCCAAAGATAATACGGACTAAAGTTCACTCAGTACTACTCGACCTTGACGATCCCGGGATTGAACCACCGCAATACTATCAAAAATATCACTTTTCGATTGTTCACACCGAACACTCCTTCAAACGTTGCAGGTAGGATATGTGGTGTTTCGTGTACCGCACCAGAAAATATGACATTAAATAGTTGTCTATCTTCAATGTCGGTCGGCGGTGTTGAACTTCAGTGTGGATTGATGAGACTGAGCTACATGGAACGTTTGCCAACCTCGTCCGGCTCAAGTAGCTGAGAAACGGATATCAGTACTGAATAGTTCACCGCAATTCCTGTTAGCCTTATTGATCTAAAATAACTTAATTCCGGCCCCAAAGTTTCGCTTGGTTCATACCAACTACAACTGGGATTTCAACGGCATCGGCATTGCACCAAGCCAGAAGTTGAAATCGCCCCTAGGCTGTGCTGATAGCAGACGCCAGATGGTGCCATTGAATTCTGTAAGGACAGTTATGAGCGTTCAAAGAGCGATGTAGCAACGACGTCAACAAACTGAAAATTCACAGTGAACTGCAAGATATTATGGACAACCGCAGCTTTCTTATAGAGACCCACCAAAAAATCCGATTTATCGCTTCTCAGTGATCGCTTTGTGGAAAGCAGCTGCCTCGAGTAATCCCTATACGGGCCGAAACGGCCCAGGGGCTAAAAATGTAGCTTTTGAAAAACACTACAGCTACCTGTGTAGAGCACCTTCGATTAGCTGACCGTCTATGAAAGGATTGAGAAAAAACGGATGAAGAACGTTTGTAATTAGATAAGCGAGGTGAATGAGTGGTGGATCAGCGACGGCGGCGGCAGAAAAGATATTCAAAGTTACACATGAATCATTAAGACATGAGCGGGTATTAGGAGATTAGGCTGCCTACCGGTCGCCTGCAGTAGAGGAAAATCACATTCATCGGTTAGAGGTGTTTCAGAGAGTATACACTTTGTATGGGAAGTTGGAATACTATAAAACACCGGGGACAACAGACGTGTTAACGAGTCTGAAAATACAGCCGGGGTCGATATGTACATGTGGGCAGACAGAAACATGCTGGCAATTCACAGTCAGTCAGTCGTCAAGTTGCCTAGGAGTCTGGTATTCTTCCATGTACACGCAAGCGATACACGCATGTGTATAGTGGATGTCCGTGATTGCTGAGGATTCCCAACTCGATTAAATGCCACGTAGATGACTGACCCTAGATAAGAGAGCAGCAGAAACATTCACAGAGATAACAGTAGGAGGTTCACAGATTGGAGTGGTGTGGCGGCATGCGGTAAAGCAAATGAAATTTAATTTTAGGTAAACACTGGGAAAAGCTCCACCAAGAATACTCATTTACGAAATTACTTGACGTTTGCTCGGTTTCCTACTTTTCCTACTCGCCGATCCGGCTCAGATACCATTCTAATTGATCGGTGGAGCACCTCGTAACCAGATCCGAAACAACGTCAAGTCTGAAACTCGATATAAGAAGCTGAACCATCACATGATAGTTGATTTCAGATGGTATGAGATAGGTAGTTTGAAACCTGAATGAGTGTGTAATTTCTCGTTACAGCGGAAGGAAGCTCCAACATCTCTGCCTCTAGTGTAAAGTGACACAAGAAATATGTTACATGCCAAACAAAGTACTTATGCCCACTCATCGAAAGATTTCTGAAGCAGCTGACTGGAAGACTATACATTTTCACGGCCTGACAAGATCATTGAGGTGCCCGTAAGAGTGACCGACAGTGATGCATACAGTTCCAAGTGTTGTATTGACTCGAAACACGCACGAACGAAAGCTGGCCACCGCTTAGGACGCCTTTAGATTCTTGTCGGTTTGTTGGCATGACTGAAAGTGTATTGACCATGTTCGTATGAGTTGCCCCTTAAACAATTAACACTGTCCTGTGTTAGATTAGCTAAAAACGAACATCGTTGGACAAGTTCGCCGGTGGAATCTGAGTTAGCGTGAATTCGTGAAACAACCTGTAATACAAATAACTCCAATCATTCACCTGTGACACCTTTTCGGTATATAATTGCTACGCGACCCAAATGGAGCAGATGAGATCAGATGAAAGCAGCTCAACTAGGTTACGGTAGAGGTAATGGAAAAGCCAATGCTGGCTTCAAACAGTGGATCCTAACTCGACTAGCGGAAAACCAAAAACGGGTACACGGTGAAAACGACTTACTTCTATCGGAAATGTTTGTATGGCAGGACCATTGATATCGTAGACAAATGTTCCAATTACGACCCCTTCATCAGTTTCCGATGATAGACCCTGGGCGCATAAGAAACGAGGTGCAAGGCTTATCGAATAAAAACTACGGTACATTGAATTCAGCAATCAGCAACAAGGAATGTGTACGAAAATAACCATTATCGAAAAACTCTGCGAGCAGTCGCAAACGTTAAAGACGATTGACGCATAAGAGGAAAAACGGGGATTCCATACAGAGTCCCGCCAGCTAAGCCAGTTGTGGACACCGTACGTGATTCTCACCAAAGTGTGTGATGTTCTTGGTTCGTGACTAGGGATTCACATGTCACGCGGACAGGAGAACGTCAAAAGACTCAGTGTTTGACTATCGATGTCCGAGTCTGGTGGGAACAGCGGATCAGCAATGCTGAAGTACGTCGAATGGTATTAGGAAGAAATAACCCATCCAAGACAGATGAACTGACCACAATGCATAGGTTGCGCTGGCTTGGTCATATGCTCCATATGCCAGCCGACCGAGTATTTCGGAGGGTTCTTTCAGCACAACGACATGAACGGTGAAAAACGAGCCAGGAAAGGTCAAACGATGACTGGGCAACGAACTACCAGCAAAATCAGCCGCGTTGGCCATTGCCGTCTCTCTGGATGGGGGACGCCGAGACGAGCCGAATCAATGCTTAGAGACATTGTCAGGCATGGCCCAGTTGCGCCCTCAATAACGCTTGTGAATCCAAGCCATTGCCTTCAATGCATAGATCCCTTCCCAACCCACCCCCACTTAACAGTCCACCTACAGCACCAATTTATCAGCAACCACCTCCAATGTGCAGCTACCTACCCCATCTCCCCAAATCGTCGGTGAATGAAACTGTGGCAGCTACAACCATTGTACGACATGTACGCAATTCTTACAGCTGATAATGATAAAACCGACCAGATTGCAAGTCCCACTTATCCATTGAACTCACGGTTGTAAACGTATCAACACTTAGCTTCGTTTCGCGATCGTTCCGAAGTACTAGTCAAAGGCCATCATTATCGGTGTATGAAAGGGGAAATTTCCCGTAAACGTGATAACATACGATCTACGACCCCTACCTTCCCGGAACACCGGCGGCTACAACCACTGTAAAACACGCACGGGTGGTGATGATGACCCAAGCTGGGGTGTTAGTGACAAACATTGAAGTTCAGGATATTGTGTACGGGGATAAGGTACCTTGATGACAAAATCCTTCGGCGCCGAATCCACCCTTTGGTTTGGTGAAAGAACACGAGGTAGGTGCTCCAGGGTGACGGACGTTATGACAATAGGTGCTGAGAGGCGAATTACCGCCTGTCCCGTACTTCCATGGAATGCCCAACAATCACCGGGATTGTTGCTTGGTTGCAAAATGGTTCTAGGAGTAAGGAAAAGAAACGTTTCAAATAGATATAGTAAAAGGAATTCACCGACCACACTAAATGTGTGACTTTTTTGTCCGAAAGCTGGTGTATAAATGAGTTTCACTCCTTCAAAAAGCCAAAAACAGATACGGTCTACTCTATCAAGCTTCTAGGAGGGGGCGCGTAAGGTTGGCCTACAAAAACAAGATCAAGGTTCAATAAATGTTCGATATTTAACTTGGTCAGCTATGTTATCAATTGCCACATCATTCCGTCGAAGATAGGGAGCCCCGAACTTTCGAGACAAAAGTCAGTCGGCGAAAAGGTGAGTCAACCTCTGTGATAAACGGAAATAGGAGGATAAACAGAAACAAATAGACGATAGTCACACTGTTACCTTGCTGAGTTGCTTAAACGAGCCAAAGGTATGCCGAATATGGTGAAGAGTGCTGCCCGTTCTGTGTAAGTCCGCGTACAGCGTGTGCCTACGATAGACCCACCAGCGGATTCCAAAGCGAAGTCGGCCATCCCCACTCGATCGGCGGCAAAACGCTCTAGGGCAGCGTCAATAAGCTTCTGAATGAATACTCGGGATTTTAATTCGTCGGTTTGTTCTGCGCTGGTGTCCACGCTCGGAGCGTACCCTGAGATCGCGGATTCTAGAAGTGGAGTACGATAAAACGGTGAGCACGTGACGCAACTAATGAAACCAAATTGAAATATTGTTTCACCGGAGATAACAGAGCAATGAATCAGGGAAACTTTGTGTTCAAGTGTTGAGGATCAAATTATTCATATCGATCGAAGTGCTTCTACCTGATTCAGCGAAGGTACGCAATTCCTGATCAGTAAAAGTGGCAGTAAGTCAGTTGCTCATGCTTATACTTTGAAAATCCGAACATTGAAACCGTAACTTTAAGAATGTGCCAAATGAATGAGAATAGACCTAGAGTGGGTAGGAAATTAAGACCTAACGAAACAGTGCCGAAATCCGAACGATCCGGCATCTTTTACGTCATCGGTAAACAATCCGAATCGAACGCATGGAATTGGTGGACCATCCACTAAACACCGCCGCCCCTGGACAGAAAACAATGAGGCAGTAAGGATTTTTGAAAAAAATATTCGGAAACAACCGATCGGTTTACGAACGTACCACGGATGGCTCGATCTACGGCTTCTCGTGTGGACTGTTTAACCAGTTCTGATAGTTTCAAATCCAGGGCTTCCTCAACCGACACATCATTCAGCCAATGCAGCAAAGCCTGAAAATACATGAAGCGACACGGAATTACGGATGTGAAGAACTACGCAGGCGATGACTCTGAATATATCACACTAGCAATCTCGAACAAAAACATGACTGAACCAGCCCTGGGAAAAAGATTTCGGGCCAATAGTACAACATAGGGCGTGTAGTTTTGGGTTAAACGCGGTATGGTAGGGTCCCACATCAACCGAACAATCCAACCACGTGTGTGAAAAAGAACTGTCGAAAATTCTATGCGTGCAGCATCGACCGAGTTCAAAGAAGAGCACTCTAGTTCAATTAATATAAAGCTCGTTATTGGAATAATGACCGAAGCTAGTCACAAGGAGTTCCCAAATGAGTTTCAAAATTCGAATGACCAGGTTTTCCCCTAAAGAGTTCGGGACCTTCTGGAAGACTGGCTCTAGAGGGGTTCTCCCAGTTTCGTTCCAAATAAGGAGTCTACTAAAAATGACAGAAATGTTTGAATCGAAAGTGATAAGTAATTCGTTAAAACATCGTAAGTGAAAGACATTCCTGAAGGTATCGTTAGTTCATCAATCACGCAACACGGTACGTCACAGAGTGTATGCACTGTGTGAACATCCACTGAGTCTCGAATGTAATCCGCGGGACATGGGATCGCCTGAGGCGTGCAAACATCGACTCATAATTGAGATTTGTACACCAGCCGCATTGTAGCAGTTTCAGATGGTCACAAAAACGTAGACATGGAAGTTTTAGTAAGAACTTAGCAAACAATCAGTAGTTTTTAGCTGGACAAGGCTTCGCTTCTGGCACACAATCTTCATCAGGCCAAATGAACAGGTCACCAAATTTGCCGGGTTATAAGACAGACGGATAACCAATTAGTAAGACCTCCTCAGATTGGCATACTAAATAAAACTTGAATGTCAATTAAGGGAGCCTGTCGGTGGCGTGGTTGCCTAAATCCTACGCCTTGTGGGTTGTGATCAGATAGGTGCAGTCCCCGAGTTTCCGTCGACCTTATGTCCGACTTGAAACCAGCTCGGTTCCAGGTCTGTCGAAAAACCATATTAAATGCAACTGAGTGTACATTTGCTAATTTCGTGCAATTTGGTTTCAAATAGAACATAAGGTTGACGGAAACTCGGGGGTTGCCCCTACCTGATGAGCCTCAAGAAAGGCGAAACCGGTCGTGGGCTGTCGACAACTTTTCAACAACCTTATGAGTAATGCATTACAAATATATACATGTATCGCGAATCTCGAATATCGTAGCGACTGAAACATGAGGCGGTCTGGTGTAGCACATTCAGTTGCCCGGAAACAAAACAAACAGGAGATTCAGCTGGGTTCCAGGTTAGTCTCTCAAAAAACCAAATTAGTTTGCAAATGGGTATATATTCGCTAATTTTTTTTCATGTTTGGTTCTTTAATTTTCCACTTCAAGGTGATTGAACTGGTGTATCACCTTGGGTACCACTGGTAGATGGTTTATGTGGGCTTGTAAATGCTACGACGATTTAGTTGTGGGGGGAAGGTGAGCAAGATTAAGTGCACTTCATTTCTAAGCTACTTCTGTTGATGAATCCTGTTTCTGATAACCGCACACCACCACGTGTCTGCAAAACCAATCCTCACATGCTGTGGGATAATTTCGCGATTGTGATGGCATATGCCAGGATACTACACCGGTATTTCTGAAACCTAAGCTTTCTGCGGCTGTTTGAAGGTCGGCGTCGGCGAAGGAAATACACGACACTTTCGGAACTAAACCTTCCTGTCTAAGCGGACAGTCGCACTGAAAGTGAACTAATTTTGTACCCATTTACGAGGCGATGCCAGTATCTCACAAGAACTGATGAGAAACCGCACTTGTGCCAAGCGATTACCTAATCACAGCAAGAAGGAGCAAAAATATCTGGCTTGGTACCAGTGAACAGCATACGATATGACCATCCACTCGTTCTTAATTTTCCCAGAGAGTCGTCAAGCGGCTCACAAACCGAAGCGGAAGCAGGCACAATATGGGTGGCTAAACGGTAAAAAGGACTCCCTACAGTCAACTGCCACAGAGGCGTCTATACGGAATATTACACAATCCCGCCCCAAGAAAGAGATGGGGGGATTTTCCATTTCAAAATTAGAATCACTTCTTGTTAAAAGTTGAAACACCCTGTTTCACTCACTCGTCTTGATTTGCCTCCTACAGTTCAAATATAGAATCAATGTAGCTGGACTAAGGCATAGAAGGTGAATTCAGACTAAAACAAATCTCCAATAAGAGCCATACCTCCTTGACAAGAACGGAAATTTGATCGGTGAAACGTTCGGAAAAAGCATTCACGGCAATTTCCGCTCGTTCGATGGCCGCTTGCTTACAGTCTTCTACTTGATGCAATTGTCGTTCACTACAGTCTCGTGTGGCTGCAAAGGGAAACAAAAACAAAGACAACTTGGCAAGGTAGAAAGAAAATCGAGGCGTTTGACAACGTTAAGGAAATTCGACATCACTTTGTTCTGTGTAGCGGTTTTCAAAGGCGTTTAATTCCTCTCTTACATTACTGAATAAGTACAAACCTGTATCAGAACTAGACATCTCCATTACCGAATAGCGCGCAACCACATACCTTCTTGTAGTTTCTTGAACAGTCCATCCAGCCCCTCATTAGCGCTCCGGACTTGTGCCACACGCTCCGATAGATTGCCTAATGTTAGGCGGATTTCGTCCATTTGGATAACGAGCGACGTATGGTTGACTACTTGTGCATGAATTCCCGAGTTTAGTTGTGAACGTAGTTCACCAAGCTGAAAAAAAAGAGTGAGTGTTGGTTACCTGATCTTGATAAATTATACAGGTAGAAATGAAAACAACACAAACACATTATGTTTTGCTTTACCCTGTGTTCCGTTTGAAGCAAGCGGTCGTTCAGTTCTTCACGCAGACGAGAAATTAACAGGGACAGTTGTGTGAAACTGGAGTTGTGTCGGTTCCACATTGAACTTGACTTCTCATCCAGTTCGATCCGAAGTAAATTCAACTCCTTGGAAACGGTTTGATTTGCGGCACTGATAACCGCATTGAAGAGTCGATCGTATTCGTTTAGAGTCACCTTTGATGGCTCCGAACTGTCCAAGCGGCCTGCAAGAGCCTGCAGTGCTTGTAGCTGGACATGCCAGGAATCCAATGCAGTGGTGTGCTCGTTAAAGTGTTGTTTCAAATTGTTAATATGTATACTGAGGTCATTGAACTGTGTCTCAGATCGTTGTTCCATCTCGGACACACGTTCTTCCGTATGACGTATAGTGCTATCGATGAATAAGAAGACAATTACTAACAGTGGCAAAACAATATTTTGACAGGTAGGATTATGCATGCGCGGTACCATTGAATGAAAGAATTAAAATAGTTCATCTAGGAGAAGAACCAAGGTGAGTCCAGGTGGGATATGAGATTCACCAAAAAGTACCAGCAATACCAAGAAAGAAAGGGCGGTCCTAAACGTAGCTCTGAAAGATTAAAGGGATGATGGGCTATAGTTACGGGCGTAAAAGAAAAGTTTAATCCGAAAATAATGGAGTTCGGTGAAAAATAACGTAGGCTCATAACAGACCGGTGAAAATAATCGAAATGACTACACGAATCGAGAAAAAATTAAGAACTACATCTTGTCATAACAAAAAGTTTGACGTCACCTCAGAAGCTCGTTGATCAGTAACAGGGGATAATCACTTACTGTGTGATCACTGTCTGCCCACAGCTACCATGCCACCAGAGCTGAGACACCGCCCAAGACTGGACGGAGATTTGGGTTCGAACCACGGACCTTCAGGACAGTAAGTTAGTGTCTTAGCCACTGAGCTAGCTCGGATCCATCAAGGGCTTGACATAGAAAAGCTGGTATGGTGGGGGCGAGATGGCCTAAGTGGTTAGAGCGCGAATTTACTGACCGGAAGGTCCGTGGTTCGAATCCGACCTCCGTCACTCGACTCCGCCTGCTAGGCTTGGGCAACCTGGCAGTATACTAGCCCTCGTGCTTCCTTCGGGTGGCATGGCAGCTAAGCACCGGAAAGGTGCTACAGCTGAACGCTATGGTGGACAATGGTTATGGTGCCATGCGTGCTCATCAGCCGCACAGATGGTATCTCATACTGGGTGAACTAAGTCTAAACTGTCTACACCTTGGTAGTTTACCATTTTTCCATTATCAGAATAGTCGTGTTGGGATGATCAGAGACGAAACTCCATATCTGAGTTGAGTACAGCACGGTAAACAACAGCTGCAGTAGGGTCAGAGTTCGCTTGTAGTGAACTATGACAGAATGGATTATTCTTTTGGAAACGGAGCCCAGCATTCTTCAGAATAAGTGTAAACTTGTGCGTTAAGTAGTTTCTAACTATCGCTTAAAAATAAACGGCCAAATAAACAGCCATTCACTACGAAAAGCTGACGCTTGAAAAGCTTTCCGAAGCAGCACGCTTATTAGATCCTTAAACGGGCTATCAAAGTTATTGTTCCATCATACTATAAAATCAGATACATAGCTTCTCTTGGTCGCTCATCGATTTCGTCGCAGCAGATGTTCCTCAAGAGGCGTTCTGATTAGACCTCACCTAGTTGAGGGCCACGTTTCGCCGAGTTACAAAGGTGCTGCTTACCTTACGCTTCCAGATTTGATTAGCCAACTATTGCTGGCATCAATACTCAAAGTCGGAATACAAATACTGACCACATTAAATGTATTCGGCTGACAACAGAAACGGCAGGATTTAGTGCTTTTGACGATGATGACCTGTACACACATTGTGAAATATCCTCAAGCTACCTGGGGTTCCATTTCGATGTGTGCTCTTCCAAATCGTTTCACACTGGGTGCTCACAAAACTCCCTCACCCTAAGAAAAGAGCACACAAGTGCGGGGATAAGGCAATGAAGAAGCCCTATTCTGCCCACTTAGAGGCTGAACAATCTTCATGGGTATTTATTATTGCAGTCAAACGTACACGCATCCAGGGGGAGATCAAAGCTCTCTTAGATCTGAAGCTAAACCGGCTCTGTTTACACAATCCGTAGTTACTATCTGAGCGCACTAGCCGAAAAAAAACAAGTTCAGGCTAAGATGGCGAACAAGAAAGTGGAAGTTAGTCAGAACATATGATATGCAGACAAACAATGAGCTTTTCAACTTACTTTGACAAACCATCCAATCGATCGTTCACAAAATCCCGGAATGCTTCCAGCTGAGCGAGCAACTTACTGTCGACGTATGACGGTAGATCAGTTGGTACGATGACCGGGGCTATAAGAACAAATTAGCCGTCGATTTTTACTATCAACTTTTACAAAAAGGAGTAGGAACAACACAGCTTCTACTGAAGCCAATCGAGCTACGAACATTCAGTCACATCGCTTATTATATGGGAGCAACTAAATACGGCCGAGTAATTCATATATCCACTCAGATTAAGGCAGTGGTTGGAGTAGACAATGTGGGGAAATTACCACCACGGTTACCTGATATGACAACAAGGTAGTGAGGCAAAAACAAGCAAGAACAGAAATCGCAGAGGAGTGCGACCTCTATGGAATAACACACGAGGTCGTTGGTTGTCTGTGTAGCAAAACAGGTAACGTTATTACCGCTCGAATGGTGACCAACATACCGCTCAAATCTATGTCATATCCATTCACTACATACATTTGCTAATCATCTTGGTCGCAAGGTAGTAGCGGTCAGCACGAGACAAAGTAGTCCAAGTCTTAGAGGGACACGCTTCTCTAACAACTACCTATGAACAGCGTGACATAATAAGCCCTTACAGTGTCGTGTGAACACTCTCAGCGAACTAAGAAGGGGCATAGGCCATTTTGCTACGATTCCGTCACCTCTTGTGATGGCTTCGAGTAAGAGGGAAATGGGGGCAAATCAGCAGTCCCCGCAAATCACCAGGGCGAACATACTTCTATAAATCTAAATCTTTGGAATGGTCAAGGCCAGTACCGCCGGAGTGAAGGAGCTTAGAGGATTAACTACGAAAGCAAAATATGCATCTCTCAATAGTAACAGACTGATCAGAGGTGACCCGTGTATAGTAAAGACGTCTTAGATGGCTTGCATGCAAGCATAAAAAAGGACAAATATGCCTACTCATGAGTAGATCCACATATAATCCATTATACTGCTGAAAATCTGTGAACCCCTTACTCGTGTGAATCTAAAAACAATCCAAAGTGGTCCAGGATTTAAACGTACTCCGTTCAGTCAATAATATGGAGTATAACGAGAGCCCTCAGTATGGCGCTAAACTTATGACCGTCTCAACTTGGATAACCTAGCAGTACCTCGCCCCTCGTGCTTCACTCAAGCTGTGCGGCAGCAATGCACCGAACGAGTATACAGCTGAACCATTATTGTTCTCCCAAAGCCATTGATTAACGGTGCATCTGTTTGCAGGGAGTAAACCAAACTCTGGTAACCTTATGTGTGCGACTGACCCACCGCACTTGTCAGATTTTGAAGCAGTCGATCATTCTTTTTGTGAAACATTAATTCGGAAGTTTCTCAGAAAGAACGGACCTCATCCCCTATGGGGAGTTGATGACACGACAGCTCGTGAGCAGCCGAACTACAGGCGGCTAGAAAAAAAACATGCTATTCACTATATGTGCATGTATTTTATAACATACTGTGTCCTATTTCACTGTGTACGATATATTTTCATGCTATATTGTACCTTCATGTCTTGTATTGATGAATCGGTATATAAATAGATGGATGATAAGGAAGTTGTGGTATGCTAGATATACGACATTCCGGCTCAGTCTCAAAGAATGCAAACTGAGGAATGACTAAGACGCATGTGAAAAACCCAGATTTGAAGAATGAACTTACAGGGTACAACGGATGTAGAAGGCCACAACCAACTTTTAAACTTCTGCCACAATGAAGAGCTTTCCGAAGTGGTAGCATTTGACGGAAAGTCGGGAGTTAGGAAGTATAGATTGTACAGACAGCGGAATCTCCAAAGGGCGAGCTGCCAAGCTGTTGCATCGCTGGGGCGAGATTCGAGTAGGGCCTTTTTACAGTCGGTATCCGAAAGAAAAGAAGGCCACACTGGAGGTGGTTCGTCGTCATTGACAGCTACGAATGCAAATGAATTTTTTTAATCTTTAAGTGATATAAATACACTCGATCAGAAGGACAGTAACAGCAGATTTGTCTACAGCGATTTGGCTGTATCTACACATGGCTAGGTGACCGTAACAGCTAATGGAGTGGTAGTTCAACCTACTTCGTTCATTTGTTTTGATACATTGAAACGGGCGGCCTCCTGCGGACATCGGCTATAATCCATTTTATTCTTCTCTAAGCCAGAGGAGTCCTGGGAATTTATCGATTTGCACACAGATCGGGGTTATAACTTTAACTATTCAGAAACCCTAAATGTATACAAATGCGTCAATAGGATTCTGTGTGATGGCGGTCAGGTCTTCTAATGAATCAGAAAAACGTTTTCCAGTACAGTCGACGACTGCGAACTCGGTTTTATTCAAGGGACGATCGGGTAGACAGACAGCACAATAGACAGAGCTATCGGACAAAGAGAGCTGTATGATAGCGTAGCTGTGACTACCCATCCTAAACTAGTGACCATGTCGAACGAAATCGTGCGGCAGAATGACGTAGAAGCTGTGCCAGTGAAATCGTTAGTTTTGTCTTGAAGTTGGTCGGTAAGTAAAACGGGGCGGTGCAATCATCATGGGCTTTGAATCCACTGTCCCAGGAACAAGAAAAAGTCTCTTGTATGATAAATTCCGAACAATTTGGATAATGGCATGGGATGGCTAGGAGGACTTACCAACTGGTGCGAATAAGAAAGCCAAAAGTAAGAGGAGCGGGATTAGGAAACAAAGACAGCCCACCAGACGAACACAGATCGTCCCAGCTCTGGTAAACCAGACGTAGCTTGCCCGGAACGATCGAGAGAAGAAGTCAGATTCCTCGACCGATGAGCTGAACACAAAGATAGAAACAAAAAAACCTTCATTGGACAGTCGACAACGATAAAACAAAAGAACGTTTGTAGGCATTAGTAGGTTAACACTGTCAACAGAAAGAGTACACATCGTTATGCCAAATCTCAATTTAAAAGAATCAGACCCAATAAATACATGTGCAGTGAATTAATCATAACCGAACAACAGTTGAGACGCTTACATTTGAAGAGTGACGTGGTTGTCGAATTGAGTTAGCCGTGGATGAACGGTCAGTTTATCACGAGAACGGTGGGGCAAAGGACTGGAATAACGGAACCAAAAGGTCCAAACGGCGGATGACAAATTACGGACGCAAGAACTGAAAGCATCGTAGGCGATGAAGATGCCAGCCAATACAAAAGCTATACTCGAGAAAATCACTCCTTTCAGCTTCTCTGCTCCTTGCATCAACGGTCGGAAGAACCAGGTTGTTGATGATGAATCTATATGGTGCAGTCGATGGCTTCGTGTGACGCTTGGTTTGTGTACGTATTTCCCACGAGCAACGGAGCGACCAGTTGTGATTGTATCTGACTCTTCAGTATCACTGGGTACAAAATGGTTCGAAGTACTCACCGGGGCAGATGACTCAAGGCCTGCAAAGGGGGTTGGTCGAAAGAAAGTAACACGCACGGCTAGAATCACATGCGCACTAAGATCAAAAAGTTGCAACCACCGTAATAGATTTAAAAATGTTCACATCTGGCAAGTAACATACTGCAAATCGAACCAACTGGAGCGGACGGATAACATAAAACCAGGCCAGAACTAATCGTGAGCTGCGCTTTTCCTCAAATCCCTACTAAGGGCTGAACAAACAATGCAAAAAGAATCAGAAAAGTTGACTTTACCATATATCACTTTAACACACAAGAACCGACACCTTTTGATGCATGACTCACCAAAAATGTGTCGAGCAAGCCATTTCTGGGCTTTGTTTCCAGCGGAAGACGTTCCACTGGAGCAAACAAACCTACAAAAGAAATAACAGGAACAGTTCAGCATCAAGTAAGATATGAAATAAAAAGCCACCACGTGGACGTAGATCAATAAATAATAGGCCGGAGTGCTATACAGTATATCATATCACTCAATAGGTGAGTCACTCATGCACCACATTCATAGTAAAGCACGCATTGTGTACTTGCGACCGAACGGACATAAACTGTGAGGAAAACAGGCATAGTGTTTTAGTGGAACTACACTGACGCACAATAGACATACATATTTTCCGTGAAGTTCCTCTAGGCTAAACTGCGGATGCGGAAATATACTGTAAAGAAGTTCGTTTCATTTTGAGAGCATCTGTACCCCAATATTGCACTGACTTTGCTTCACAATCGTTTATTTTCAGCTGTTCAAGGCACTACGAACTGCATTCACTTGCCTGACCACGACCAACAGAGCTGTGACGCTTAATTACGTGCAAAGTTGGCTTTTTTATTTTGACTACCCCTTTCCGATGAGATATCAATAAAAATCTGACAATTTTCACTTACTAGGTCGTTGAATCCCACACCAAGTCCACCCAATATGGACGAAGCAACAAGAACAGAAGACAGCTTGGATTAAACACTGTTAACTGCAACCAGTCCTTCTCGATGGCTTTAAAACAACTGTAAACGAGGACAAACTTCATAGTCTCCAACAAAATTCACGAAAACGGCTCGAAAGGCCGACTCACTCCTGAACAATACTCAAATTCATGAACAGAACCAGCATACTGAAAATACAGTTATCTGGCGGGACTTTGTTTATCAAACGTTTACAAAACAAATACCACAACAGGTGCTGTTAGTAATGTCTTTCTTGCAATGATGCGTCTCAGTTGGCCACACTAGGATGTGTACAAGCTAGCTGACCCAGCGCAGTAAGCTCCACTTTTCTCGATATATCTGTGTGACTAGTTATTTCGTTTTTCTTTCGGTCCACAAAGAGGATGCATCTCATAAACAAGCGAAGAACAATGACGGGAATCCTGAGCAAGGTTGACCAATTTTACCGACCCCAACACTTTGTCTGTGAGAGAGCAACCAGATACAGGAAGTGGAAGTTCGTTCCAGACAGGTTTCCTACATACCTGCTCAGATGGCCGTCCGCTGGGGATTTTCCACAGAAAAAACTAAACTCGTTTACTCGAAAAAAAAACGAAATAAATGCAAAGCAATCAAATAATTCATCAATTCTGAGACCGAGAAGCCCGAGCAAGGCATAAATAAGCTGTTTCAAAACACGTTCGTTCTGGCTGCCCAAGTTTCGATCACTGACGGCCCACTGGGACAGCGGTGCACTAAAGACAATGACCTAACTCACTTATTGACGCCCAACCGTCATAATTTTACAAAAAGTTATGCAACCAGCACCAAGGTTCATGTCTCCGAGCTGAGCTGTACTATAACAGTGCAGACTCGACAGGCACTAACTACATGAATGCTTGCAACTGGCCCACACGAATCGCTAAGCGATATCATCCTTTATCACCACGCCGAGAAAACCTTACCTCTGAAATAACGACAAACAAGTTTTGGCTCGTTGGCAATGAGACGTTTTGTCCCATTCAAAACGCCATGCGGTCTGAACCCGTCGCTTTTTTTACCTGACCATTGCACACGATCTACGGACCAAACAATGATATAGAGAGGGGTTAACCTCCCTTCAGACTGCCTGAGTAGTCCAAGATGAATTTTCAACCCGAGAGTAAATCACCTACTAGCAGGTTCTTGACGTATGCTTTTGCAATTAGGGCGCCAGTCACACAATCGGACTTATTTCTCGGAAACAAGCTGAACTTTAAAAATGTGGTGGATACAGAGTACGTTCGTCCAACAGTTCTGCCAATTTGAAAAGCAAAAGTAATTGGATGACTACGTTACCAAAGGGAAGAACACCATGTTGACATCCGATACACAACCCACATGGTACACAAGCTACCATAGACAGATTGTCCCACCTATTGGCTAAGAATGATCGCTCAGTAGTGGGATCATTTGATGAAACGTGTGGAGGTTGTGCACCCCACATTCTGCCATTCGAATCAGGAATGTCTCCTCTCTCGAACGAGCTTTTGTCTCCGCCTTCTCCTGGTCGCATATGGTCAGCATCTGGTGCTACATAGGTGTAGACATACGTGGAACTAGCAGAAGCCAACTGATTCGAACGATCCGTGTGAGGATTCGACTCAATGCGATTTTGAGATGTAGTGGTTTTCGTTGCCGTAATCGAGGGTCTCACACCGGCGCGAGTGGATCTTCGAGAAACCAACTGCTGCTGTTCGTGTTTATGTCGAGATCTTCCAGTGGGAGTTTCTGTATCAGTCCCATCGACGATGTGAGTGACGTCAGCAGTATTGTTTGTATTGCGCTGACGAGCAACCAAGTTCATACGCTGCATAGGAATGAACGAAAAACATGAAAATGCGCGTCTAACATTAAGACAATAATAATAAGCATGGGACCCAAAGTTAATTCTTACAGAGAGAATGTGCTACGAGAACACGTGATGAGTTCCACAATCAACAAGAAACTATTCAAAATTCACGCGTGGATTAAACCTACTCGGTTCCCAGGAGTAGAAGCGATACACTCAGAATGAACGCACCATTCACCTTGCACGCGTATGCAGCGGACACGCGACATACGGGTGCTGGATCGAGATGAGGCAACTGAAGCCCTGTGAATAACAAAGGAAGCGTATGAGATAGATAATATAGTGATATTGGTCACACAAAAGATCTAGTCAATTCTGTCCACAGCACGAGAACTTTAGGGAGCTTCGTGCCAAGTTTCCAAAGTAGTTTCAAATGTCCAACATAGAGCTACACAAACCGAATCGTCCTAGTGAGTCAGGATAACCCAGATGAATTTGTCACCTTCATCATGTAGCAATCAGGAAATTGGAAAATATCGCTTCTATCGGACCTGTTATATAGTCAATATGTATTGCTAACGGGATCTGTTCCAAGAAAACCAAAGTAAATGTAATTGGACTATCATGAGACAATATAAGATGCTAGTCAATAGAAAATCAATCCGCCCGTTGGATTCTAATTCACAAATTTATATTTCCTAAGTACCGCCTCCACTGGGACAAATAATGAAACATGATTTATGCACATCTAGTAGCCAATCATCGATCCAGATCAGTGCCAGATATTTTTGTAGCGGACCAATCCTTTTTCAGACAGCCGATGAGGGCAACAGAAGATATTGGTGAGATTACTTAAGCCTTCCAAAATCTGTGGTGACACCAGGTATTGGTGCAAGCAACACAGTCATGATGGTGCTGTCTATTTTGGTGAAACACGGATGATCGCGGGTGTCGGCACAACAACTTTGATTTAGCACTCCGATTCTCCAGCCTACTAATAAAATTTCAACAGCTGAAAGAGCCCGATATCCTACTACGAAATAAGAATGAAAGTCGGTTATACTAACAAACCAAGTATTCTGTACAGATCACATTTATCTTGTTCTACTAGAACGACAAATACACGCACTTTCAAGTTGATAGACTAAACTGAATAGCAGCTGAATCTCTCATTCACGATGTTCCTCAACTGAGTGTTCTACACCTCATGTTTCAGTTGGTGCTACATTCAAGATCTCAAAGTAGATTTTCTTGATGAAACATGCTATTCTTTACATAGTTATTAGTGTTCACATCTGCTCAGCTTCTATGACTGAATGAAAAAGTCGAAGGCAAGGCCTCTGACCAGAAAGCTCGCAGTTTAAGACCGCTCCGTACACTCCAACTACAGGAGTTGATGCATGGGCGACTAGTACGAACGGCACAATAACTATGTATTGGGGATAGGGTTGGTTGTTTAGTGCTGGCTTTTGGCAAAACTGTTGTAGTCAGAAGTTCTAATGCCAGTAATTGAGCTGGAACTGAATTGGATAATCATGAACGAACAGTAGAATACCAGAGCTACGGAACTGGACAACAGGGACAGAAACTGTAAAGCAGGATGCCACAGCTGCCTGTCACATCTTTTACATAAAACATCGTTCAGCTGTAACACCTTTTTAGTCCGGTTTCTCACTGGCAGCCTTTAACCATTAATCGCCCAGAAAAAGTAAACCGAAGTAGCTCTTTACTAAGGGCCAAAGATCTGGTTCACGTTGCAGACTTTAATGTTCGCATTCCCAGTCAAATTAGACGACAGGCAACTCTTGCTGAAACCTTGCTTGTATTCTCTGTAGATGTATTTTGTGTCGCGGAAGCACACACAGAACCCCACTTCGGTCGTATACCTCAAACCGCCTAGAACAAGCTCGGATGTCCCACATATCACTCTTCCACTGCCGGTCCTGATGTACTAGCTCGTGGTATCTATGGTGTGGAATTAGCATTCACCCACCAGGCTGACAGCGGTTTGCTGGAATGCAAAAACATCGTTCACTTGTAGCACTGCCTAACTGCCATGCCACCAGAGGGACCCACGAGGGCCGGGATACTGCCAGGTTGCCCAAGCCCGGAAAGCGGAAGCAGAGGTCGGTTCGAACCATTGGCCCTGAGGTCAGTAAATTCGCGTTCTAAGCATCTTTTAGACAATTTGATAACGTGCGTGTTGAAAATGTTATTAGAAGTATTCGTCACGGTACTTAAATCACCAAACAAATGTTTGAACTAGGCTACGTAAACCAAGATAACTGCAGTGAAACATTAAGTCGTAGATGGCGTACACTATTGGGAATGGCAGGAGTTGACTTACCTACTACTAAGCTCATCATCTTCTAACTCTTCCTCGCGATTGCCTCCTAGGCCCGGAATGACCGCTGACAACCTTTCATCGGTCAGAACGGAATCCATTTCAAAATCTGAGTCATTCAAAGTACGGGAACCCAAAGTGGCGATGTGTTGTCCAGCTGGATATGCATAAAAGATAATGAGAGTCACAGAATTAAAAGTAGTCTAGTTCACACAAGGAACAACCATTGTCAGTGTTCATCTGACAGCAGGAAATCGAACTTGGCAGCCACGGTCGATAAAACACGATCGATCAACCAGGGAGCGAGTAGAATGCGGGTCTAAAGGGTTAAACCATGTGAGAGTATCACCACGTGGCGGCCGTATTTTGTGTCTACACTACTTACCTTGGACACCTTTTCACTCGGCGCGAATTCGGAAAGTTATGAAGCTAACTCATCAACACAAACGAATCACCGCGTCTCTACAGCTGTTGGAATGATGCGTCAGACTAAAGCCGTTATACTACGTGGTAAGAAAAAACGCCACAAAGATGGTTCACGCTAGTCGCGAGTTTTCAACACCAGGCATCAAACATGTGCCAACAAACCAAGATGTGCGCTGCGGGCGGTTAACAATTAGCAGGACTTGTAGGTTATCTCAAAGCTAACTGTGGAGCAAACGCATCACAAAGAAAACCGATAAATTTATAACTGGCATTATGGGTATCATGTTACAACGTCCTAATATATCAACAGATAAAAAGTTGGCAAAAACTACGGGTCATGATGACTTATATCTCCGTAACATTCCAGGTTATGGATAACAAATGTGATTCTCACAGAAGAACCTGAAGAGTTGGCATTCCGATGAGTGCACCTTAAGCACACCTGAATAGGCTGTGATCGTTTGACTGACCGAAGCAATGCTAAATCCGGAATTAGATCGAAACTGCGAATAACTAGCTCTATCTTCAAGCATAAGTGGATCAGGAAACCCAGAACGACAAGGAAACACTTGCAATTCTCAATAGGTGTATGGTATTGAGAGATCGGTGGCTCAGTTCGGGTTCTCAGCTAAACATCCACGCACTGAAATGCATAGATACCACCTGTTATACTTGTGTTAACCGAAAATAAGAATGAGGGAATGATATTTATGCTCTGGAGGCGACGACCTTATCAGTTCTTAGGTTAAATGGTTCGTTTGTTAGGATTAGAAGAGAGTGAGAGAGCTGCATAATCAAGGCGGTAGCTTTGATCCAGATCACCATTGGCTGTGTGGCATAGTCAGGGCAACTGACTAGGGATACCACCATTGATTTGTCCTGCGACGGCGTCCCCATTTGAGGAGACGGCAGTTACCAACGCGGCTGAGTAAGGCCTAGTAAAGTCTTTTATGCCCCGTCGTCTGCATTCGACACAAAGCTGGACGAAGAAGAATTTAGCGAGCCAACAGTCCAGTTCACTGCATAGCCAGTGCAACCAGTGAAATTTGTCCAGTCGATCTGTCGAAGGTCATCATTATCATCAGTCAGCTGCAATAAGCGCGTACTCGTCGTACAGTGGCATAGCCAGACCAGTGAAATTTGTCCAGTCGATCTGTCGAAGGTCATCATTATCATCAGTCAGCTGCAATAAGCGCGTACTCGTCGTACGTACATTGTAGCTGCCGCAGTTTCGTTCACCGATGTTTTTTTTGGGGGGGGGGATAGGTACAGTGGGCTGTCCAGTGGGGTGAGGTTGGAAAA